CTCCGACCAAGATTCGAAAAGAAAATTCAAGAAGGAAATTCAAAAAGAGACACCGAAATTCCCGCGCGATGTCTGCGCGCCCAAAAGTCCGACAAAACAAAATTAAAAGAAGGGAAACGAAAGAAAAGAAGCGACGTCAGCGTTTATTAATCGCGCACTCGGCGCGCACTCCGCATCCATCCGACCAAGTTTCACCCCCTTTTCCCTGTGCATTCCTGAATTGTCCCCAACTGTCATCAGGGGCTCGTGCGCGAACGAAGAAACAACGAAAAAAACAAGGACACACATGCAATTTTCCATCAACCCGTCCAATCGACGTGGGACCCCGCTTAGCACTTCGCGCAGAAAGTCGCGCATTACAAAAGCTAGTTCGTCACATGTCACATCAGCCTACACCAGTTGTCGATCAAATCAACCTATAAAATGCTCAGACCCAAAAGACGGCTGAGAGACATAGTAAACTACAGGTGGGCCAGACACCTAAATGTGGATCACTCCCTTCTGACTCCAATTAAATGGTTCCAAGAACAGAAAGCAAAACCCATGAAAATCACTTCCCTGCAGTGGCAGATCGCCCACCGCTGTCTGCCAACGAATGACTGGCTGACCGACCGTACTAATTTTGAACAAACAGGTCTGTTGCTTCCGTGGTGCCAACGGTGTCAGAGCCTTTTCCCTTTCTTCAAGAAGGTGGAAACCATCAAACACATCTTCATGCAATGCCTGATCGCCCAATTTATATGGAGATGGTGGGATCGCATATGGAGAAAGATGGAATCTGCAACTTCCTCGCCCTAGTCTTGGCAAGCCATATTGGCCGGCCATTGGCCACAGGTAGAAGCAGCCACGACCTTCGTAGAGAATATGTACAAACTTGGAAGGAGAGCAGTGGTATGGGCACTTCTGGCTATGGAAAATGTGAGAGTAGAGGAGTCAGAAATCACCGAACAGATTCAGCAGCAGGTTCATTTCGAACTCACACAAAGGTGGCTAGACACAAAAACACAATTATACCTCTTTAAACAAGTAGGAGATGTTAGGAGACGGATCACAACATTTTGCACAAACTGGGTGGGAGGGGAGAGAGAAGGATGGATTGCAAAAGTAGAATGGAGCGGAAATGGGGGAGAGGGACAGAGGGACTTGGAAAAGATGAGAGACTATCGCCTAAGCTTCAAAGACTAGACAAACATAGAACCCTCATTCCCACTTCGCCCCCCTGCTGATTTTCCAGACACTTTCCCGCCCCATGTCCTTTCCCTGGCAGAGATCCTGTCCTAAATGATAAAATCCTATAACCCAGTCTTCCACACATCTCTTACTCATACAAGGAATTCCTCCCTGGAGCCCGCCAGGGAAGTTTCTGCTAACAACCTTTTCTCCTTCTCTTTTCGCTGCTCAGTAATTCCCCCCTTCTACGGATTGGGGCAGCCAATGCTGGCAGCCTAAGCACCCTAAACAAGAAAGTATGGGGGACTGGGAGGGGGAGGGAGGAACTAGTGTGTATCAGTAGGTATCCGGCGCCGGGTTCAGGGTGAAGGAGGTCCCCCCTTCGTTCCAATTATCCTCCTCAGTCAATCCGCTGGATCTCAGGGTAATCAATGCTGGCAGGGACCCCCCCGTGACTGTTTTTCTTCTGATGTACTCCATGTCCAATCTGTATATGGGAGGCTGGACCCGTTTTCCAGCAGGTGATGCTCCCCACCAATAGACGGAGCCTCTCCCCAGGTGCTAGTGGTGTCTGCTCTTATCAACAGCGAGTGCTCCCACGACTGACGATGGCACTCACACTGCCCCCGTAGTGCCGCTGCGGGTAATCAGAATGTCATATTGCAGTTCATATTCTTATTAAGTGGATGAGGGAGATTGTGTTTTCCAAAAACTTCATCGACCCAGCAAACTACAACACTAGAACACTAAAAAGCAACCCCCAAGCAAACAGGACCAACTAAATCTACTCTTTAGAAACCAAACTACCCACATAGACACCACAAATACCAATCAGTCAGGTACTGCATGCATTGGGTAAGGAGTTTGAAAACACCACCAAATCTCTTTTTTTCTAGGCTACCAGAGTGGCCCGCGGTCACTTGCCCGGCCGGGACACCGGACACTTCTGGACCAGTGTCTGGACCGGTTCGGACTGTCCAGTGATCCGGACATCACCGGACACCGGACAGTCCTGACCGGTCCCCGGGG